GAGAGAGAGAGAGAGAGAGAGAGAGAGAGAGAGAGAGAGAGAATCCCAAGCAGGCTCCACACTCAGCTTGAAACCTAACATGGAGCTCGACCCCATGATCCTGGGATGGTGAACTGAGCTAAAATCGAGAGTCACTCAACCAACTGAACCACCCAGGCACCCCCAGGCTCACTGTCTAAAACAGTTACAAGGCTTTAACGTGGAAGCAAACACCTCTGTTGTCAGAACGTCAGCATATGAAGGACATGGTCAGATCATGACCGGCCCCTGAGTTCATAATGCAATCTTTTAATTTACTGACCAGATTATGATTGACAAGGACCCGCCCTACATGCTACAGGTTAACCTTGATCTTGAAGTTCCTCCAGTTAGTGTACAAATAGCTCTTACCTTTGCGGTATCCTTTGACTGGCTTTTTAAAAAGTTTTTATTGCTCTGTCAATCCAATTTTCTTCATTTCATTTTCTAGGAAATCCTCACATTTTCTGATCTTCCATTCTAACTTTTCTTGTGTGACGTTTCAGTAGAATTTGGGGAGGGACAAAAAGCATACAGATGTTCTCAGCCTGCCAATCTGACCCTACCGTTTTTCAGAGTATACGATGACGTGAGTGGGCATTATTTACACAATTAGGATAAAACCATATATGTGATTTTGTATTTCACTGTCTTCACTAGAACAACATGTGCTTTTTGAAAACATTATTTTTATGATTGCACACTCAAGGATGAGCCTTTACAGACCATCCAGTTGGAGTATAATTACTAATTTTCTTTTATTTCTTCAGCACTGAATAATAAGGTCCTTGAGGACAGAGAAATATGTCATCCTGAAGACTAACTAAAATGTGTGCCATGTGGCAGCTCAGTAAGTGATCCTGACTCACTCTGATTTTTTTTTTTTCAGCTGAGTAATCAGAATCAAGGCAAAGACTTGGGATAGGAGATGGAGGGGCATGCAGGAAAGAAGGTTCATTTGGGAGCAGAGAAGACCAATCTAGGCATTCCTGTCTTGTGACTTGATTTCCCCTCTTCTACTTTTTGGTGCTATTGCAGAAGTGGATCCTTAGTCGGGCTGGGAAATACGGATGTTTAGATTTTCCTTCCTCTTATTAAAGCCCTAGAAATAGGAAGGTGCCCTTGGCACACCATGTTTCTTTCGGCACACATCAAAATACGTATAAAGTATTTCAGAGGGGATGTGTTTCTACATTACAGGTGTATGAAAAAGTCTAAAGATGGTGTTCATCTACCCAGGTTGCTATTTACTGCCTCAGAAGGATGAGTCATTCTCTGTTTACACTGAGGGACTGAAGTTATGTCTGTTTGCAGCCAGCATTGTAACCAAGTCGTGAGGATGCCATGACAGTAACTGTGAGCTATCCTGGGATTGTGACATGCACAGTGTTAGAAACCTTTATTTCAGTGTATTGGGATGAATAGTTCAGTATGCTTGACCAAGTGTTGGAAATCAAGATTAAAAAGCAAAAGGCAACAATTACTCTGGGTTCATCATCAAACCCAGGATGATTTTTCAAACTTTATAAATATAGAGATTCTTAAAAGCAGATGATTCCCAATTCCTATCCACACGCGTGCACACACACACACACACACACACACACACACACACAAAACCTGGAAGACAAATCCAGGGTCTTATTTTTTTTCCTCTTTCCTTTTGTCAGTGCCTCTATTTCTTTAAAATGAGTCACTGGTATGTAGCACAGGGGAAAAATGAATAATTCCTTAAAAATAGTCCTATTTTCCAATGAGAAGCTGAGATTTAGACATAAATTACTATCTCAAAACATAGTCTCACAGGCTTTTAAAAACAGTCAATAAGGGCCCAAATTCGTTCATATTTTGAAAGATGTATGGAAGAAGGATGGAAGGGACATTTTGCCACTGACCCGCAGGACGGGAATAATTCAGGTGAAATTGAAATCTGTATGATTTCTCACATTTCTCGCTTTTCACATGGCCTGACTTGAAAAACTTATCTAAAAAAACCTGTCATTATCACGTATTGAGTTCCGTGTGCCAGGTACCATTGGTTTGCTTTCTTTAATTCTCACAACACTGTGAGATAAATATAAGCTCCAACTGGGACTGGAGGATGCTGAGTTCTGGGAGGAGCAGTGACCGAGGTCACTTACAGCCAGTCGGCAAACCGACAGCTAACTATCCAGTCTTCATCTTACCTCACAGTGCCTCTCTTGACAGCTGACTTTAAGGCTGGAAATTTTACTTGATTAGCTTACAACAGATAAAATTACTAATTGCTGTTTCCAGTGGATGTAAGAAAATTGTAGACTTGCAGTATTTCTTCATCACCTACCGTTTACAAATATCTCACTCGGGACCGGCTAGGCTTTGCTTCAGAGCAACCAACCCTAGATGTCAGTGAGTTTAAATAACAAAAGTGCGTTTCTTCGTTCACTCAACATATCCATCATGGGGCAGCTGGGGCTCTGTTATAAGTTGACATTACCCCAGCCAAGGGAGGAGCTATTGTCCATAACATTAATGGTCACAATGGCCAAGAGAAAAGACCACACTGATTGTGATTAGAATTTCGGCCCAGAAGCGTCACGCACCATTTTACGTACGATTCATTGGTGGTGATTGGCTACATGTCCCTATTCAACCATAGGGGTCCAAGAAGTGCAAACCGGTCAGGCCCAGAAGATTCTAATAGGCAGAAATATTTGGCGAGCAACACTGTGTCTCACTGGGCACGCAGCTAGGTGCTGGGGGGAACACAAAACATAAGATGTGGTCTTTGTTCTTAGAGAGCTTACCGTTGAGGCATGGGGGGGTGGGGTGGGGGGAAAGGAACCGTAATGCAGAGAAGCATAAGGGCCAGAGTAGTTGGAGCATCATGTTAGAGGAATACAGAGGAAAGAGTTCATTTTTCATCGATTTAATTTCACCGTTAATTTTAAATGGCAAGAACCCAGAAGCCTTTGTAGAGAAGAATACAGATGAGTTTCATAGTTTGAAGGATTGCAGGATTTTAGGGAGAAAACTACCGCCACGAAGGGAACCGCGGGAAAAGGGTGGGCGTGTTCAAGCAAAGATGGGTATACCGGCAGGAAAGCGAGGCAGGTGGGTAAGACAAGCGATGAAGTCAAAGAAAGGAAAAGCCATTTGGAGGCAGATCTCGGAAGTGTCCGTGCCATATAAGGAAAGAGTGCCTTTACATTGAAGCTGCTGTATCTTATCAGAAATCTGTCGAGGACATTTCGGATGAATCCATGTTGTCTCAAATGTATTACTATAGTGACACAGTCACCATTCTTAGAAGGGTACATTCTCGTGCCGGTTTGAGTCAAATCACAAGATCATCAGAGCAGAGCCCCTGGTACGTAACAGGTGCCCAATAACCGGACGGATGAATGAGCAGGAAGAAACCTGAGAAAGACATTCTGCGTGCATCCTTTGAGAGCTGGTCAACTTCTGAGTGTCCGCACCTAATTTTGTTTTTTTTTAAAGAAAGAACAAAAATTCCCGAATAGAGCTGCTTGCGTGAAGCCTCTGTAAGATGTCCTCCAATTCTACATGTTTAATGCGTTCCCTGTCTTCCTTTCTTCAGCCGCAGGTTATGTTAATTCTTAACGTTACCTTTTAGGTTCGATCCTCCAATTCTGTAACCAAATTTGTCTTTTCTCCGAAATTTTTCTAGGCTCTCTGGGCGTCTCAGAATCTCAGAGCCTCCAACTCTGGACGGAACTTGCTACAGGAGACGCTGCCCCCTGTAGACTCAGCGAAAGGAGCTCTACTAAGAAATAAACCAAATTTAAAAAACAACCCCCTCCAACCCTGCCTAGGGCTTTTAAAGAATACAGAACTTTCCAGCAGCCAAGTGGCATTGTCAGCGGTGGGCTAGGATTTTACACCTCGTAGGAACAGAACGGGGATGTGCGGGGATCTGAGGGAATAATATTAATGGCTTGAGTTGGTCCCAGATGGAAGCTTGCTGTGTTTATACCAAAACGCTGCTCTGCTTCCTTATGCGGAAGATAGAGGCTCTGTTGAGTCGTTTAAGCAAAACCTTGCAAAGCACGCGTGGCCGTCTGGGATTTGCAACAGAACTAGCCAGGGGGAGAAGGAAGGGAGAGAGAGCCAGGCCACGGGAGGCAATGTGGTAGACACTATGAGCGTCTCCTGGTGTCTCAGCGCTTCCCAAACTGCTGGTCCGGGCAAGCCACCTGAATTCTCCAGAACGTGCAGGTTCTGATAAGGCAGGTCTGGGGCGGGGCTTGCAATGCTTCATCTCTAACAAGCTCCCAGGTGACGCCAATGTTGCTGGCCCCTGAACCACACTTTAAGGAGCAAGGAGTCAGGGTAACTGCTTCACCTATCCTCTTCCTTGGTCGAGCCCTAAAGGTCAGGTGCTTACCTGCACGGGGTTCAGGGAGAGTAACTCCTGCTCGGTCCCACCGGAGCATGTTAATCAGCCCAAGCCCATCATGGTAATTCTACTCCCGTTGCCAGTGATTGGCTCGGGACGGGCCATGTGACCCATCTTGGTCAAGGAGATAAAAGGAAAACCGTCGGGGGTGGGGAGAAAGACATGTTTAGAAAGGCCTTTTTTTTTTTTTTTCCTTTTCTTTTCTTTTTGCTCTGATAAAGCTTCCCAGGATGGCTGTTTGCCACTTCCTGGTTTTGGAGCTTCCCCGGTGAGGATGGGATTCTTGGAGCTTCTGTGCTTAGTCTACAAGTTTAAGGAGAGATCTCCTTGGCCCCTTCCCCCTACCTCTCTGTTAGATCCTGTCTTTGTCCGCACCTACCCTCGTAGAGTCTTCAACAATAGAATCCCATGGGGAGCTATTTTGGACCCTCTTTTCATCTCTCATTCTCCACGTTAGAGTTTTCAAACTGTGGGTAGCAACTCACTGGCAGGTCATGAAATCACCACAGCAGGTTGTGCCCAGCACCAGGAGAAAGAACAGAGTATCCCTGAACGTTCCCCGTGGTAGAGGTAAGATTTGGTCGGGTTCATTTTCGTTGGTGACGTACGTGGGATAGAAAATGTATTTCTTATTCTAGGGCCTCCTCGAACGTTGAGAACTACAGGTTTTTGCACTCTCGTTCATTGCTAGGATTCTCAAACCTCTCTCTCTACTTCCGTTTCTACCTGCATGTGTTCTCGGTTCCAAACCTCTGTCTTTACCCACCCGCTCACCATGTGCAGTCGGAAAGCTCAGCAATCCACATCGCGAGCTCAGCTCAGCATTATCCCTTTCAGGCCTGCATTGTGCTCCCTCACCACCCACTCCACCCCTCCTCCTCGCTGCTTGTGTGTTAGGAAAGGGCACTACCTTCACCCCCACTTAGTCCAACTGAATCCTGGGAGTCCTTCTTGGCCCTTCACGCCCAACATACTCCCTTTACGAACTTGGTTTATTTCACTCCCGTGCCTCTTTCAACAAGGTCTCTTTCAGATACCTTTCGCCTCTCCCCATGAGTGCCACCCTTCTGATCCCAAGCACTGTCTTCTTGCTTCCTAACTCAACCTCTCCACGTCTTCTCTCACCCCTTGGCAATCCGTTCTCATGCTGCGGCCAGAGGGACCAACTAACCGTGGCACCTCCCTATGAAATCGAAGGGTGAAGCCACCAATCAATAAACTGGCTGGGAAGGAAGTCCATAACTGGTTTCTCACCATCTCCTCTGTCTGGTCCTCACACGTGCCATCTGGGGCTCTTACAGCCTTTCGAATGTTCTGTATTGCCTCACGTTTGGGCCCCTGGAGGTTCTCTTCCTCCCAGGAGCTCTCTCTTGCCATCATCTCTTAATGCATCAAACCTTCCTTGCTTGTTGAAATCTCAGATGGCTATAAACTCTTCAGGAAAGCCTTCCTTGGCTCCTGAATAAGTTTGGGTCATTCCAGCACAAAGCACAGCATAATTAGAATTATTTACTCATCGTGAAGTCTTTTTCCCTATAAGACTATATACACTTGATCCAGGCAAGGACCGCATCTGCTCTGTCTCTGCCCTGGAACCATAGCACAAAGCCCAGGGGCTGATACATGGTAGTGGTTCTTTCCTTTTTAAATAAAAGTGTTTAAGACCTTTCTTGGATTAATTATGACGACCAGTTGTGAATCATTTTTACAGAGTAGCCAATGGCCTGAAAGTGGTATGTGGCCAGTTGAAATATCCTGGGAGGTTTACACTTGGTTTTTTTGTGTTTTTAGTTTATCTTGAGAGAGAGCAAGAACATGAGCAGGGGAAGGGCAGAGAGACAGGGAGAGAGAAAATCCTAAGCACGCTCCGTACTGTCAGCACGTAGCCCAATGCAGGGCTCCAACCATGAGATCGTGACCTGAGCCGAAATCAAGAGTCGGACACTTAAACGACCGAGCCACCCAGGCGCCTCTGTTTAATATTCCAAATAAGGGCCATTAACGCCAGCTGAAGGTCAGGTGTGTAACAGAAGCCTATGTAGTCACTGCGAGTGTGATTTTTGCTGCTTGCCAGACGGGAAGATCCTGGTTAACCCAATATCTATGATGGCTGGCTCCCAAGTTGACCTGTCTGTATTAATCAGAACTCCCATGCAAAGATGTGACTTAGTGACACCTAAAGGAGTGTGATTCTCTCTCGCCTACACTGCCACGGGTCATTTTTCTGTCCCTTGCACCCTCCTGTCGATGCCAGGCCTACCAACAAGTCAGGCCCCTGACTTCTGATCAGCCTCAACTATTTTTCATGCCGTTCAATACATTCTGCCTCTGCATGTCCCCAGGGGATACTCCAGTAATCACCTTGGCCTCGCTTTGAAGTTGAAAATTAAAACGCGTTTTCTCCGGTTGCTTTTAAGTAATATAGTTAAATATTACAGTGTGGTTGACCCCTGCCTCCCCACAACTCCCTTTGACGTGATTCCAACTTGTGCTGACCGGCCTGCTGACCAGAAAAACATGGTTGAGCTGAAGAAGGAGCTGGTGGGGGGGAAAAGGGACCTGTTACACTTTAATAAAAAAGCAATGTCCTGTTCCCAGAAGACTGGGGACGGGCCCCTGAGGTTCACGTACCGCGTCTTGCGGAAACTACAAAGGCCAAAGCTCCCACGGGCCCATCTTGTCCTCAGCAACCAATGCAGTAGTCAGAGGAAGTGGGGACCCTGCCCCGTGCAGGTGCAGAGTTAGGGTGTCAGGGAGGGGTCAAGTCTGGCATCCCCCCACTCCCCCCACCGCGGCAGCATCTCCAGCACCGGACGCCCCAGTCGCGCTCGAGAAGAGGGAGCACGGGGCCATCTGGCTGCCATTCTGTGCTGCCAGCCTGAGGGGGATGTGGAACCGGCACTCATTCCTGCGTGAGGCCCTGGGGAGGTCTCGGCTGGCGGAGAAGTTCAAGTTGTTTGCAAATCGAGGCCTTAGCGGTGTGTTCCGTGCTCCGTCCGTGTCAGCTGTGGGGAGACCGAAAAGGGTGAGGGGGCTGCTGCGTCATTTTGGCTTTGGCGAGCGATCCTGCCTACGGTTCGTGACGAAACTCCAAGCGGGGTCCTTTGACTCTTAATGACCATTTGGTTTCAGGGGACTACGTAATTGACCTCCACTTAATATTTCACGTGGTCTCTTACTGCCCCTGTCTTTGTCCTTGATCCCTGACTCTCGTTCCTTCCAGTTGTGTATTTCTTGGCGAGAGGAATGGTTTCCATTATTTCCGCAGGCTTCCTGTAGGAGTGCTGTGCTCTGTATGTCAGACTAAAGCAGCCTTGACTTACTTAGGTCCGGGTCCCCAGGGCCAGACGTTGAGACAGCTGCACGCAGCAGGTTTCTGGAGAGTACCCCGGAAGGGAGCGCAGAAGGCAGCGTTCGGCAGGGGAGAAACTGACCCACAGCAGGAGGGTAGGGAGGGTGTGGAGAGGGGGGGTACGCAGGGCTGCAACCCAGAGGCTTTAGCCAAGCTCCTAGGGAGCCCTGGAGCTGAACAGGCCTCTGGAGGTGCCTACATGGGAGCCAGAAGCCAGGCCTTGGGAAGGGGACTATTTGTGCCCCAGGAAATTGCCTTCATTGGAGACGGGGCTTCTGGGGCACAGGTGCCATGGGGAACTGCCCATCGGTGACCTTGGTGCCTGCCTGCTATAAGGCTCAATCTGGTCTTCTGACACGTGTGTTGGTTTTTTTTCCCCCACAAAAAAACTTGGGAGAAGAAGTAAATTTCCCAGAGGAGTCCAGACCCTCGGCTTCTCTTGAAAAATGAGAATAACGAGTGGACCAGTCAGAATCCAGTCAGGAAAAGAAAATCCACACTGTGTGTTGCAACAGCGATTTAATAGGAGGACGATCAAGGGAGGACAAGGGGACCCTGAGATGACCCATATGCATTGACTGCAAGAAGGAGCCTCCGCTCCTGGAGTTGGGGGAATGAGGGCATAATGAGGGGGTATAAACCCAGGGGTTCAAAGTAGGAGGTCTGGCAGCTGTTGGTACCTGGCAGAGTGGGG